AATAATTTTATTCTTCTAAGACAATTGTTTGATTATTTTTGTCATTAATTTCTGATTTTATTAGTATATACCTTTTTTTTAACTATTCATCGATTGTAAAATAGTTTAGTTTTTACAAATTTTTACAAATTTACGATTCTATAAAATCAAAAGAAAAAAAAAATTTAACAATAATTTTATTCTCCTACGACGAATGGAGTTGATGTTAAAGTTATTTCGGGATATTTTTATCTTCAGATCACGAAGGAGTAGCGGTGCACAGGGTAGCAGCACGCCACAACCACGAATCTTGGCACCGGGGGGTAAGAATTACATTTTTTTCCCCAATTACTAATTAAATTACGTATCGAAAATTAAGTGAGAAATACTTACGTTCATCCTCATTACATTACATTTATTTAAGGGTTGTTCGTACGAATCCATTTAAATGTATCACGAAAATTCAATTAATTTCCCTCCTCCTCCTCTCATTAAAGTCGGTTTTAAATTAAGAAAAAGAGCAAATCCTCCCTTCTCAGGGGAGGAGGGGGTAGAATTATTCGCGTAGAAAGAACATTCCGCCCCGTTTGAAAAATCAAATTCTCGAAATTGCTCAAAGTCTCGAGCTTTTTGTGTCTCCCCCCACGTTTCATTTCCACGTGTCATTTCTATTCCAACGTCAATTCACTTTTCTCTTTTGTTCCCACGATTGATCCTCTTTCCCCCCGCTTCATTTATGCAACCTTTCATCTTTAACGAACTTCAAGATTCCATTTATTCATTTCCATCTCTCTCCATCTCCTCCTTCTCCTCCTCGTGATCCCCTTCTCACGCAGTCACACAATCTTCTCACTCCTGAAAGGTTATTAAAAAAAACGTAAGAATGATTCAATTAATTAATTAAATTCAATCAACGATTCGATTAAACAAATCGAGAAAAGAGAAACATCGAAATATCCCCTTAAAAGATCCGTGAGAACGATCTCGATCAACTTCAGAAAACTCGACGAAGAAGTACTCGTTTTCTCGCCTCTTCTCGCGCAACTATTAAACTTCATCATGTTGCCAGCCAACAGCCCTCGCACGTTTCCTTTCTCGAGGTTTCAACCTCTCCCTTTGTTCTCTTCCTTTCAGAGGAAAACTACATGAAATTGGCGGTGGAGACGATGGAGGAGCTGGACTGGTGCCTGGACCAACTGGAAACCATTCAGACTCATCGATCCGTGTCCGACATGGCCTCTCTGAAGGTAAGACACGTTTCCTTTCATTCTTTCTTTCTTTGTTTCCCGTGGAAACCCCGGGATCTTTCGGTAAATCGTCGCCTGGTCGAGTTCAACGCCTTCTAGATTGTTGCGAATGTTTCGCGGAACGGTTAAGAGGAAGCGATTTGACGTGATTTGAATAATTTCGTGGGATTTGGGACACGTTGGAAGTTAGGAATGATTCTCATGTGTGTATGAGAGAGAGAGAGAGAGAGAGAGAGAGAGAGAGAGAGGGTGAAGTTTGGTAATTCAGAGAAGTTTATTAGAAGCCATTGGACATTAAATGATGTCAATGAAGCGTTTCGACATTTCAGTTTTTCTTCTTTTTTTGAAAGTTAATGGAAGAATTGTGCGAATAAATGCGTACAATTGTGTTTCTTTTAAAAATCCTATTTTTACGGCAAAGAGAAGCTCGTTTTTGGACAAAGGAGGGAGATCTCGTTAAAAATCCCGCGCTTTTGACGAGGCGCCATTTTGAGGACAGGTTATAAAATGGTTACTCGCTGTATTTAGAATAATCGAATAAAGGAGTTTTTAGCGAATTGGAAAAATGTTTGGTAATCGTTATAGGAATTTTACAATACAGTTTTATATGGGAATACGATAATTGGTGTTTTATTAAAAAAAAAAAAAGAAGAGAGAGATAATTCTATCGTTGAAGTAATAAATATTTTATGCAAAGATATTTGTTAAATTTTAATAATTGAGTCTTGTTTGTTTACAAAAATAAGAGAAAATTTGTTGTTACAAGTTTTCTATTTTTTTCTCCGTAATATATAAATATATATATATATATATATATATATATATTTATTTTGTATTTTTTTTCTTTTTTTTTTTTGTAAGAAGTCAAGTTTTAGTGAGGTTACAATGTTTACCTATTATATTTCTCTGGAAAAAAAGGATAGAAAAACAGTGACCACGCCACCGATAATGATGATAAAAAAAAGCGGATAATTAAACTAATTAAGCAAATGTATTCAATCTGTTGGAAATTTACAATCGCGTAAACGATAAAAACACAAGGAAATTCCGATCTTTCAACGTTCAATTACATCATTATTTGTAATGATACGACACAAGATATATCGATTAATGATACATCCTATCAATGCAAATTCTTATTTTAATAATTTTAATTTTAATCAAGGACGGAATAATAGATCGCATAATTTCGAAATATTCATTTTAATATCATTATTTTCGTAAAGATTATTAAAATAATTCAACTTGAAGTAAAATCTTGACGAAACTCCATCCAATTCGACGATAAAAAGAATTTTAAATTTTAAATTTTTTCAAATTCTTATTTAACAATTTTAATAATCTTGACTTTAATCAAGGACAGAATAATAGATCGCATAAATTCGAAATATCCATTTTAATATTATTTTTTTCATAAAAATTATTAAAATAATTCAACTTGAAGTAAAATCTTGACGAAACTCCATCCAATTTAACGATAAAAAGAATTTTAAATTTTTAATTTTTTCAAATTTTTATTTAACAATTTTAATAATCTCGACTTTAATCAAGGACAGAATAATAGATCGCATAATTTCGAAATATTCGTTTTAATATCATTATTTTCGTAAAAATTAAAATAATTCAACTTAAAATAAAATTTTAACGAAACTCCATTCAATTCGACGATAAAAAGAATTTTTAATTTTCAAATTTTTCAAATTTTTCATTTAACAATTCTTATTTAATTTTAATAATCTTAATTTTAATCAAGGGTGGAATAACAGATCGCACATTAATTTCGAAATATTATAAAATCATTGTTCTCGTAAAAATTATTAAAATTCGAGCGAATTGATATTTATCAAAATTTTAAAGAATCTTAACAAATCTTCTAAAATCTTAACAAAATCCAATTCCACCAATATAAAAAGAACTTTAATTTTTCAATTATATTCCATCATAGAAGTTTCCAATTTTTCCTCCTGAGCTATAATAATAGTTTATTCAATTTTCAATATCCGATTACGCACTCCATTTCGAAAACGAGAAAATCGAGCCCAGCCTTCCTTCTAAGAAAACGCTTTCCTAAGAGATTCCAGTATAAATTCACGAATCACGTAGCCGGGTCGAGGCGGGTGCGTCTTCATCGCTTCGATCCCTCGTTTATTACCCCGGCTACTTCCTCGGCTATATATCCCTCGTCTTCGATGTGTTTTCAATCGAGGGAAACATTGCGATCTGTTTGCGATCGGGGCAACGTGTGGCCATTTGGAGGGGGGAGGGGGAAGATCGAGGCAACTTTGACGATCCTCTGCTTTTCTCCTTGTTTTTTTTCATCTTCTTCTTCCGATTCGTTATTTTCTTCTCTCTCTTTTTCTTTTTATTGGAAATTGTAAAGTATCGAAATTGTTGGGATTTTCAGAATTGAGAATTGTAGAGCTATCGCGGATGGTTTGGGATTTTGAGAATTGAGAATTACGAAGAGCCTTTTGTTTCTTCTTTTTATTTATATCTATCTTTCTAAAAAGATTTTTTTTTTTCTAAAAAAAAAAGGATATTCGATATATGTTATTTTTAAAATATTTTTTAAGTATATTAATAAAAGTAAAGAATGTGTAGCGGAGGGAAAAAACTTGTTAGAAACGTGAAAAATAAATTATGGATCATTGAAATTTAAAATTTTAAACATCGAAAATATGAATGAATGATATTGGGTATAGTTAGGATAGTAAATAATTTTTAAAAACAGATTAAATTTATAATGTGATGTAAATTAATGATCACGGGTATAAGAAAGGTTTCTCGTCCAGAATAGAAATCGAGGAAATATTCGTATAAATTATACGTATATAGCAGACACCTGTGCATAGATCGATAAAAGTTTCATCATTTTTCTTACCCGGATTTTCGTATTGAAACTCCACGCTTGCTTTCGAAACTGGAAAAGTTTATTTTTTTCTTCGAGTTTATTTTTCACGTTTCTAAGAAGTTTTTCCCTCCGCTACACATTCTTTTCTTTCATTATACTTAAAAAATATTTTAAAAATAACATATACCGAATATTCTTTCTTTTTTTAGAAAAAAAAAAATCTTTTTAGAAAGATAGAAAAATAATTTCAAGATTGATTTTAAATTAGAATACAATTCTACGAAATAAAAGAATTTAAAAGAAAAGATTTCTCAAAAAAAAAAGTCAAAACCATTCAACGGAAATAAGACGCAAAAAGAGAAAAATCTTAAAAGAATATGTTTTAAAAGCATTTCAGATTCAAATCGCAAACACGAAAGCGACACACACACACAGGCGAAGAAAAGTAAAGAAAGATTCGAATATAACAAAATTTATATTTCAAGAGCTTTTAACATTGCGAGCTACGATGAATTTCTAGCTACGATGCAGGTTTGTCTAATCATTCTGCGGTTTATTGACACACGAATTCAGAAGGGACATTTACGACTTGTTTTCCTTCGCTCACGACCTCGAAGAAAATTCGAGACCTGATATCTGTACTGTTTCTCCGCTCGACCATGAGCGCGCGATTTGTGGACTTGGATTGGGTTACGTAATGCAGAGTCAGTTTCACGGTCAAGGCGATTGATAATGTAGATGGCGCTAATGAATGACACGATTGTAAGTTTTCTCGAAGGAGTCGAATTTTCTGAATTTTTCCCCGCTCGATATCGAATTTTGAAACTGTATACATTCTGAATTTCCTCTCTCTTTTTTTCTTTCTTTTGATTTAGCGTATTTCGATGAACGATTATTAGATCGTGAAGGATGTTAATACGTTAGAGGTTAATCGAACTTGTGGAATTTTGTGAACGAGACTGAAATTTCTCAATTTTTTTCTTTTTCTTTTGAATCGATCGATCATCGAAATCTTCGAATGATTAAAAAAAAATGATCATCTATTTTGTTATTCGATTGATAACGGCGATCCAAGTTGAATTTAAAAAATTTTCCTCGCCTTAAAATTCGACGAGTTTCGAAATGGTTTGTTGAGCAATTTCTCAGATTTGCTGGAACTTATCTAAACAGTTTCTTAATTATTTGAACAGTTGGTTAAACAAACTTACAGGAAAGAATTATATATATATATATTTTCAACGATCTTTCATCGCAAGCACACGCCTCTATTACAAATTTCTAAACTTGGACTGGTATTCAATAGTTATAAATTTGATTCCGAAATGGGATTTTCGTACTTATCCTATCTTATTCCTTCAAAACTATCTTACATAAGATAACATAAGATCGCGTCTTTTGCAACTGAACGAACATTCTTCCTCCTCTCCAACTCTCTACGAAATAACAATCGACCAAGGAATAAAAACTGCCAAACCAAATAAATCCTCACTATCCATTAAAACCCATAGAAATCACGTGAACGAGAAAAGAATCGAGAGAGAGAGAGAGAGAAAAAAAAAATTCCAAAAAGAAGAAAGAAACGAATTCCCAAAAATCGATGACGAAAATGCTTTTCATTCATTCGTTAAATTTGCACGACGAAAAGATCGTTAATAAATAGAACCAGATAAAGCGTTCGTTGCACGCGGTTGCACAAATCGAGTCACGCGAAAAACTCGTTTATTCGCGTGACTCGAGGCCGGCCCTTCTTCTTCCGCTCCCTCTCTCTTTTCTTTCCTTTCTTTCTTTCCCTTTTTCTTTTTTTCCTCCCGTGAAAAATCGATCGATCCCCCGAATCAATTGACCTACATCGCGTCTCGTCATTAGGCGAGGCGCGAACACCGAATACACGTGGACGCGGAGCCACGAATGTCGAGCAGGTGGCCGTTACGTTACTCTTTATTTAGATCCCGTTCCTACCAGCTGTTCAACTTCCATTCTTCTCCCTCCCTTCACCTCTCGTTCTCCTCTCAGGAATTTCCCCCCACGATACATTTCAATCTTGGTTGTATACATATTTTATCGATCGATCGTTAAAAGGTGGAGGTTATTTTCTTTTTTTGGGGAGGGGAGAGGGGGGAGAGATTAACCGTTTGCGCTCGAATGGTGA